GTGTGTGTGTGTGTGTGTGTGTGAGTGTGTGAGTGTATGTGTGTATGTGTGTGTGTGTGTGTGTGTGTGTGTGTGAGAGAGAGAGAGAGAGAGAGAGAGAGTGTGTGTGTGTGTGTGTGTGTGTGTGTGTGTGTGTGTGTGTGAGTGTGTGTGTGTGTGTGTGTGTGTGTATAACAGTATATTTAAAAAAATATATATTACATTTAATTTAAATATATAAGAAAACAGTTCTTAAATTTGCATATATATTTATTTTTTCCTATTCTTCTATTTCTTCTTAGTGTGTGCGTGTTTTGTGTGTGTGTATGTGTGTGTGTGTGTGTGTGTGTGTGTGTGTGTGTGTGTGTGTGAGAGAGAGAGAGTGTGTGTGTGTGTGTGTGTGGGTGTGTGTGTGTGTGTGTGTGAGTCTGCTCACAACCTCCTGAGCCCCTTGTTGGACCCCTCATGATCAGTAAACAGCTGTGTGAGAGAGAGAGAGAGTGTGTGTGTGTGTGTGTGTGTGTGAGAGAGAGAGAGAGAGTGTGTGTGTGTGTGTGTGTGTGAGAGAGAGAGAGTGTGTGTGTGAGTGTGTGTGAGTGTGTGTGTGTGTGTGTGTGAGTTAGTGTCTCTGCTCACATTAAGAATGAACGCTCTCTTCACCTGCTGTAATGCAATACTCACATCTGAAGGCTGTCGCGCTGGTTCCCACTGAACCCCGCAGTAGCTCACCGCCGCGTTAATCCTAATGAAGAAGAGCGGACATTAAGTTTTAGAGCGGCTCTTTAGCGTGCCAAAACTCTTGTGGCCTTTATGAGGGAATTCAGTCATTAGTAATTGTGACCATGTGTAGGTACAAATAAAAATCCTGTGAATTTATAGTTTGTTATAAAATCTCGTCCAGAGCTCAACGATGGCCTTTTAATGGAGCCACTCTCTGTGGCTTTTTCTTCGTCTCACCGCGAGCTGCTAATTGTGACAGTATCACACGAGAACTGATGAGATGTTTCCTCTGATGCAACGTGACAAAAACACAACACTTGAGATTTATTACAGTGCTTTCACAAAACATCGTCATTTAGTTACACTGGAGGCTGATGGGAAAATCAGAGCAAACTGTGAAAGAATTAATTTAATTGACTTTCAACAGACTTGTCCTTGTGAACAGGACACTGATGGTGTTTGTGGACATTGTATTTTACATTTATATATTTTACATGAATTGCATCACCAAGGCAGCATTTATTTGATCAAAAACGCTGTAAAATAGTGAAATATTACTGCAATTTATAACAGCTGTTTTCTATGTGAATCTCTGTTAAACTGTAATGTATTCCTGTGATGCGCAGCTGTTTCAGCATCATTCCTCCAGTCTTCAGTGTCACATGATCTTCAGAAATCAGTATAATATGCTGATAAAAAACAGTTGTGCTGCACAATATCTTTGTTGAAACAGTGATATATTTAATTTTTCAGGATTTACAGATGAACAGAAAGTTCAAAAGAGCAGCATTTATTTGAAATGGAAATATTTTGCAACATTATAAATGCATTTGCTGTTACTTTTGATCACAGTGTCTGTAATGAATAAAAGTATGAATTTCTTCTCTCTTCTCTCGTAGATCATCAAGCTGCTGGATGGCAAACGCTCTCAGACCGTGGGAATATTAATATCCAGCCTCCATCTGGAGATGAAGGACATTCAGCAGGGTGAGATATAACTTATTTAATTTATGTTTCCTGATTGCTAAATTTCAAATACAGAAACAAAAATTGGGCTCTAAACCTCTCTTTTCTTTACTCAAAGTTGATCTAGACAAGTAGGCTACATGGAAACTATCTGAAGTTCTGTTCATCCTAAAACAGTGAAAACTGCATCTTTATAAAATGTCTCTTAAAGTGTAAATGTATCACTTTTTTAGTTAAACCATGGTAACCACAACTTATCCATGGTTTTTCTATACTAACCATAGTTTAACCATGGTATTTGTAGTAAAACTGTGGTAAAAAAACAAAAAAACATGGTTTCTATATATAATATTTGTGTATTCTTTATTTTTTCTTTGTTTTTATAACTGTACTACCTTAATGGTTTGATGTTTTCTACTGTTTAATAAAAAATGAAAAAAAAACTCGCTCCGAAACCCTGATCTCAATCAAATGATTTGCGATCCATCATTTCAGATCAGGACTCGGATCGTGGAAATGAATCAAATGATTCGCGAAATGCAATTTGAAGTCCCGATCTGAATCAAATGATTCGTGAACACGCTCTGAAGTCCCAATCTGAATCAAATGATTCGCGATTCGCACTGTGAAGTCCCAATCTGAATCAAATGATTCGTGAACACGCTC